AGGGATAACACAGTTCACAACATGATGAATGAAGCAAATGTTTTCATCTATGCCTGATGATCCAGAGTGGAAATCAACAGATTCAGGAGAATGTGTCTATAATAGAATTCTGCCATGAAGATCTGACCTTCATCCTTTTCAATAGGACTATGGTGAGGATTTTATTCCTATGCTATGAACAGTCAAAACTAGACACCATTTCCCCTTGGTCTGCATCCTGTTTTTGAGAACAATAGCTCCATTTTTGACCAAGTGCCAGACCATAATTCAAGTTTGCCTGCATCCTTTGGAACACAGATTTGGCTGATACCATAATAATTTGGTGCATTGAAATGACTGTTCCAATTAGAGCAGGGCTTTGGGTGGTTTTTTTTTTCCTAGTCAATAATATTATTTCTTAAGATTTAAATATTTTAGAAAGAATAAGCAAGGAAGAGAGGCCTCACATCTTGATGAAATATGTGTGCATGAATTCCCTTGACTTAATCTCCAGTCCACTCAAATATGATACAGCTCAAAAGTTCAGCTTGGGATCAAATTCTGTTGCATTTATGTCCTGTTTGGGACAGACAGCTTGAAACAGATAGGAATCCAGTGAAAAACAGAGGGAGAGGAAAGAAGTGGTCAAGATGGAATAAACACAGCAGCTGGAGGAAAAAGCAAATGCATTAAAAGAGTGAATTGTTTGTACAAAGGCTCAGTTTTGATGGTGTCACCTGTTTTCACTCAAATTGTTCCCTGAGCACTCTCCAAAGAGTTGCCTGATGCATTGAACTTGCTGAGCATCAGTCATCATCAGTCCCTTATGTGTTGTTGGTACCTTTTGCAGAGCAAAAAGTGAGCACAAAACAACAGTAGTGCCTTTACTGATGTGACAGAAAACCCACCAAAGGGCTGATCCCAAGCAGGAATTTGGAACCTGCTCTAACAGTGGGGTTGGACTAGATGATCTCCAGAGGTGCCTTGCAACCCTAACTATTCAATGATTCTGTAATTTGGATTCCAGACTCCTGGTTTAACTATTCTTATTCCCATTGTCTCCTTGTGCCATACGTCCAGCCTAGCTGCCCATTTCAAACATTCTTCCCTTTGGTGGGTTTTCTACCTGAAAATGGAAGTGTCTCCTTCACTGGCCTTCAGGATCAGGGACTCCCTTCTCCGCTTCCTTTTCTGGGAAAGTCAGGAAGAGTAAAGACTAAATACTCTTATATAGTCGCCTTCCAGAATACTTCTTCATACAGTATACTGCTTGTGAACTGGAAAATCATAAAATCACCAAATGGTTTGGGTTGGATGAGACCTTAAAGAACACCTAGTTCCAGTCCCCTGCCATGGGCAAAGGCACCTTCTACTAGACCAGGTTGTTTCAAGCTTCATTCAACCTGGCCTTGAACACTTAAATGGATGAGGCATCCACAGCTTCTTTGCAACCTGTGCCAGTGTTTTACCACCTTCACAGTAAAGAACTTCATCCTCACCTAAATCTCTGCTCTTATTTTAAAGCTGTTCCCCCTTTTCTTGTCCTATCTCCCTGTGTAAAAAGCCACTCTTCCTCTTTCTTACGAGCACCCTTTAGGTATAGAAAGGCTTCAAACAGGTTTTCCATTGTCTTCCAGATATGTGTCTGATGTGACAAGTGCTAGAAATGGACTGGAGGAGGGAATCTGTGGAACTAACTTGGCTCTGCAACACAGAACAGCCATGATCAATAGCTTGGGAGAAAAGAGACTCAGTGTTGCACGATTGTTCCCTTATATTTGCCAAAATTTTGCTTAATATCATGTTGCATCAGCCTCCAAATGTCTTTGCTTGTGAAAGAATGTAGTATAGCCTGACAGGTCCTCCTCAGAAAGTTCTATGCATTTTCAGTTTCTTCTTCCTCCCATTTCTGTTTCAACCCATTTCCCTGGATACTGGTATTTTATTTCCATTTGTTTCTCCACAGACAAATAAAAGAGTACTGGGGGAATAGACAGGGAGAGGAAATTCTTTGAGTTCCCAAAATATTAGGAAGCAATTATTCTCTTGAATACTAACCCATAATGGCTAGTTTAGGGCAGACCAGGGTCCCAGCAGAAATCTGTGGCCAGAGATTGGTATCCTATGAAGATGCTATTTTGTCTTTGCAAAAAAAAAAAAAAAAAATTAAAAAAAAAAAAAATCAAGTTTCTGAAAACTGAGACTTGATTTTCTATAGATGACCAAGGAGAATCATGACTTGCTGAGCTTGTAGAGACCCTCTCTGGGAATTGGGAATGTTTCTAGTGCTTCCAGTACTTACTTGATCCCACTGCAGAGGATTGTTTCAGGAAGAAAACACAGCAAATTGTGGTAGGAAATGCTTAAAAGGAAATCTATTGTTGTTCAGCATGGAGAAGAGAAGACTGCAGAGAGACCTCACTGCTGCCTTCCTGTACCTAAAGGAGTTTTTAAGGAGAGAGATGGACTTCTTATATGGGCAGATAGTAACAGGACAAGGAGCAATGGTTTTTAACTGAAAGAAGGGAGATTTAGATGAAGTGTCAGGAAGAAATTCTTGGTCGTGGGAGTGATGAAGGCCTGGCACAAGTCACCCAGAAAAGCTGTGGCTGCCCTGCCCCTAGCAGTGTTCAAAGCCTGGTTGGATGGGGCCCTGAGCAATCTGTTTTTGCAAGTGGCATCACTGTTCATGGCAGGGGGGTTGAAATGAGATGGTCTTTAAGGTGCTTTCCAGCCCAAACCAGTTTAGGATTCTGTGTTTCTATTGTCCTGTCCCATGCAAACAGCTACAGAAAGGAAGCCATTTGTTGTATGTGGCAACATAAAAAAAAACAGAGTTTGCATTGACTGCATAAATTCCAAATGCTCTGTTACCAATGCCAGAATCACAGGAGGCTATCCCCTGGCTTAGCAGAAGGAGCTCTTTGCATCAACAGAGGTTTTTGCAAGGACTTTATGAAAAAGCAATGAGTGAGGGTGTCAATTTTGGTTGCAAAATTACAGGCTGTGTCATGCCTACTGTCCTGATTCTACTGGGATGGGGTTCATATTCTGCTTTGTTAAACCATGACACCAACCTTCTAGGACAATGAGGCTGCCTGGTGTAATGTCTTAGGGATGGCAGCCTGTGATGTAGGGCCAGGTACTTTGGCATTTGGTCTTGCAGGCACAGTAACACACAGGAGAGGCAAAAGGTGGGGCTGTCATCTACATATCACTATTTTGAATAATTTTGAACAATGTAGAGTAGAGATCCCATTTTCCCTGCTTTCCCTCTCTTTGTAAATTTATTCATATTTTCTTCCCCTCACGCTTCTCATCTCACCCAGATTAAAAGAACTGGCTGAAGCACGCTCATATCACTACTTGGTTGCTTATGCTGCTAACAGAAAAATCCAAATGAGCCATGCTGCACATTAGTTCTGAGACTTATTAATCCAAAAATTATTTCTGCTCCCAGGGAAGGCAATGGAAGTCTAATTAGTTCCATAGTAATAACAAGAACTTTATTTTTGTAAAGCAAAACAATAACAATGTTAAAACTGTTAATTAAATGAGTTTGGCTCTGTCATCAGGTTATTTACTAATTCTAGTCACAGCAGCCAAGCTAACACTGGCTCTGACAGCAGGAGAAATAGTTTTGCCATGCTTGACACAAAAGCCATGAACTCAGCCTGTGGCAAATCAGCATCTGGGCACACAGCCTGGCTTGCTTTTGAGCTTCCAGCTAATCCCCACAGTTAGGGATCCCAGGGAAGGCAGCTTGTGCAAGCCTTCTACAAAATCAAGTGCTTGAGCCACTGGCTTCCATAAACATTAGATCAGGCCCTATTGCTGCTGATGGTTTGTTCAAATTCATAGGATCACAGAAATCACAAAATGGTTTGGTTTGGAAGGGACCTTAAAGATCATCTTGTTCCAATGCCCTGCCCTGGGCAGGGACACCTGCTAGACCAGATTGCTCCAAACCCCATCCAACCTGGCCTTGAATACACCCAGGGATGGGGCAGACACAACTTTTCTGGGCAACCTGTTCCAAATTCTTGCCTACATCTCCAGTACAACTCCTTATTCTCCACTGGTTGTACTCTATAATATGGAGCAGCTGTCTCTGGAGTCAAACACCATAGAAAAATAGGAAGACAATTCTTGTCATCTGTGGAGCATTCCAAGCTAGTGCTTTAATATGTCCACTGCCTTGTGCTTTTTACAGACTTCAAAGTTATTTTTATTGTACAAAATTCCACAATGAAAACCACCAGCCAGTTTCATACACAACTGCTTAAAAAATATAATTATACATCATTTTGTAGTGTGGTAGTTTGACATTCACTAGCTGGAAGAAGCAGAAATGGAGCAGCAATTTGACTCCGAGTTATTTACCTGGACAGGTTTCAGTTTGACCACTACTTCTATGTGCCTGAATGGACAATTCCTGGCATTAACAGAAGACCTGATATAGTTCATTTTCAAAGCCCCTGAACCCTGTTAGCAGGTCAGGCTCCACTCACTGCCATGTTCCCTCCAAAAAGGTGAATTTTCTGTGAGACTACGGGACATAACATTTGTCAGTGTCAACTTTTAGCAACACAACAGGCTGGCCATGTTAAACACATCACAGAATGAGGACCTGCAGAATTTTTCTTGCAGCACACCCTCTAGACAATAATACATTTTTGGGGAAAGACAGTAGAAAGACAGATCTGAATAATGGCCCAGGGCTGTGTTCCCTATGCATTATTTCACACTGGTATCTTGAAAATACTTTTTTGCAGTCTAACCTCCTGTGGCCTTTAAAAATAGATATACTATTCTTCTGCATTGAAATGGAATCATACGCAGTGATTTTCCAACAGTTTTTCTTAGAAATAAAAACATTTCAGTTCAATGTTAGCTGCTTGAAATTCATGCTCCAGGTTTTTTTTTTTAAAAACCTTCACCCAGAGATTACTTTCTTCACATTAAACTCAGTTAAATACGTATTGCACACAAGGTCCAAATTTCTCCTCTTTGAGTTAAACTATGGATCTGCAAAGCATGGCAAATTCTCCTTCAAATCCCTGCAACCCACACCAGTGGTGTAATTCAGGGCACTTCAAAAGCACTTAAAATCCATAGCTGAAAATCAAAGATGAGAATTTTACCCTTTATTTCTACACACTGTCAGTGTAGCACCTGATTTCTTCAGTTTTCAAGACATTTTGTGTTACTATGCTTTAAACTGATGGCTAAAGTTTTGCCTGCGGAAGCAAAAAAATGAACCCACACCAATGATGACCACAGATAAAACCAACACAAATGTTAATATAATAAGGAAGTTGATTTTCTTCAGATCCTCTTTTTCACAGTCTTCTGGTCTAATGTTCCTGATGTGCATTTTGTCCTGGTACCCAAAATTCTGAGTGTGCTGGCATGTTAAATGCTCCACGTTGGGGATCTGGACATTTTTGTTCTGGATCATGGATGAAAGCCAGATGTTTCCACAGCAGCTGAGTGGGTTCCCGGTGAGATACAATTTTTTAAGTGAATTTTCTAATGCTAAAATATTGCTGTTCTGTAATGTACTGAACCTGTTGTTCCGTAGGTCCAGAACTTCTAGTGGAGAGTCACTACTCCACTTAGGCAGCCAGTTCAGCTGATTTTCAGAGAGGTTTAAATGTTTAAGGTGTCTAAAACAAGGCAAGTCAATATTTAAATCTATCAGCCTATTACCATATAAATACAAACATTCCAGAGACTTTTCCAGACCTGATAATGCTTTAAGTTCTATTTTCAGTCCAGGGTTCATGGAGAGGTCCAAGACAACCAGAGAAGTCTTGTAGAAGCTGTATGCTGGTAGGATGTTCAGCATGTTGTCAGCTAGGAACAAGTACTGAAGAGTAGGAGAATTGATAAATGATACACAACCACTTTCCTCTCCAGCAAGTCTTTGCTTAGCTAATCCTGAGTACATGCTGCAAAGGCTGATATTATTGCTTTGTAGATTAAGCAGTCTAAGGCTAGGAAGATTGGAGAAGATGTCAAACTGCAGTGTTTGAAGATAATTGTTTTGAATATAGAGCTCCTTCAAATTTGACAGTGCACCAGCATCAAGGAGAAGGTTCTGCAAAGCATTGTAGCTCAAGTCAAGGACAGTTAAAGAGATCAATGCACTGTCATAACTTACTGCAAATGCCTGAAGACAGTTTTTACTGAGATTAAGGGTGTGAAGGGACAACATTGATTCAAAGAACTCCTCTGGAATGGATTTGATTTCATTATAACTTAAGTCTAAATATACAAGCTGGGATAAATAAAGAGAACTTTTGTTTCTACTTTGCTTCTGATCAAAAATATGGAAAGAAGCATTTAGCCATTCATTTTTCACATAGTCCATTTTATTGCGAGGGGATTCATCAGTGAGCTGGATTAAATTCTTTGATAAATTCAGAGTTACCAGCTTATTTACCTGAGGGAACACTGGGAAATGAAACAGTTTGTTTTCACTCAGATCCAAACACCTTAAGCTATATTCATCATCTGATTTTGCGGTGTGGAAGGTCTCAATGCTGTTCCTGCTAAGGTCAAGTATCTCCAGCTGCCTGAGGTTAAAATCAGAGATGCAAGTAATTGAATTCTTTGAGAGATTGAGTTTGGACAGGCTCACTAGGGTCTCAAAAGCACCTTCTTCTATTTCCATGATGATGTTGCTCTGAAGATCTATCTCTACAAGATTGGGAGATCCCTCAAACATCTTTTGTGATATCATTATAATACTGTTGTCTGCCAAGGACAGATACTGCAGTGCTGGAGCTTCTCTAATGAAATACTCAGCCATCCCATTGTACAGATTGTTGTGGGACAAGTCCAGTACTTCCACCTTGGGTAGGAGCCCAATCCCCTCTGTGCCATTTTGAGCAAGCTCATGCAAGTGATTGTTGGCTAAATTTATTTCCAGCAAACTCTTCATGTGTGCAAAGACTCCAGGCGTGATGAAACTTATCTGGTTAGAGCTTAAATCCAGGCACTGAAGGGAAGTGTAAAATGATGATGACATTTCAGAAATGCTTTGAATCAGATTTCCCGACAGATCTATTTTGTTTACATTTGGATAGAGCTCACGAGGGATTTGGTGGAGATTTTTGTTGTGGCAAAATGCCTGAGAGTTTACCTGCCAGAAAAAGAGAGAAGAGGAATTGTCACATGACAAAGGAAAAATGTCTTTGCATTAAATGTAAGAAAAATAACATTCAGCATCCAGGCAGATGCTGCTTCTGAAATACTGATAATTTTTTCTGAGCATTCAGACAGCAAGAGCAGCAATCCCAATTAGCTTCTTTGCAGCTAACAGCACTCATTTCATTTTAAAGAGATTTCTGACTTCAAAGAGTAGCGTTTAATCTGCATGTGATAGCTACTAAAAGTTCTTTTTGTACCTTTCTCCTGGACTCCTCATTTGAACAGTCCCAAGTTTCTCTGCAATCAAGCAAGATTTCCTCATTTTTTGTGCTGAGGTTTAATTTTCTCACTTTCATCACTGTATTAGATTTTGCAGACTGTACTTGTAGTAGTAGTGAGCAGTACTTGGAAGAGTTTCACTCAGTTGGAAACATGGGCTCCAGAGCAAGGAGGTATAAAAACCTATAAGGAGCCTATAGCACAAACCCTGTCTCTCCTTCAGAATCACATGTTCAAATACGCCTTTAACCAAATATGTCTGACACCAATCTCCAAACTCATTCCACTTTTATCTTCCATATTTATCCTTTTCCTAAGGCACCAGTTCCCTTCTACTTGCATGGGGAGCACACCTTATGAAACCACCCACATGAGACACTGTGATACAACACTGAAAATACAAATTATGTCAATTCAGTTTTTGAGAGGAAAAAGATGTGATGTGCAGTTAGGGTCAGGCCTTTTCAGGCCAATTCTCAACAGAAGGGTAGAGGGGAAAAAAAAAAACCCAAACCAAAAAAACAAGCATCAAAGTCAAATCCATCTTCTGGATGCATCTGTGTTTAATTGTAGCTAGGACTGTGTTCTGTGTCCAGAGAAAAATTTATGTGTGTGTTCATAAGGAACACTGGAAACATGAACCATATTACATGATGGAAACAACCATCCTTACATAACAGTCAAGTTCTATTTTGTTGTTAAGAAGAACATACAACAGCAGGAGGAAATGGAATGTGAAAGGCTTAGGCAGTATTTAATTTACTGGAGAAAAAGTCTTGTTATTAATGTATTTGTGTGTCTGGGGAAAGGGGAGGGGAGGGGAGGGGGAGAGGGAGGGAAGGCAAGGCAAGGCAAGGCAAGGCAAGGCAAGGCAAGGCAAGGCAAGGCAAGGGAGAAAGAAAGAAAAGCCCATTGAATCTTAACTTCTAAGAAGAAGCAGAATCCAGATTCCATGACACAAAGCTTTTCAGAAATCAAGCAAATATAAAAAGTCAAAGATATTAAATCTCATTTGTTTTATAGGACCTTTGAGGTGAATGAAGTGGCAGATCTGTTTAGCAGAAGTGGGGCAGTAGTCAGTATTTTGTGAATCTCTTTTGCATCATCTTAGTTCTGGAGACCACACAAGAATGTGCCAAGGAAGTTCAAGTGGTCATTCAAATTTTAGATGTACACAAGCTGCTCCACAGTGATTCCCATGACTCATTTTCCCCAATGATCCCACGTAAATTGACCATTAAAACTTAAATCCCTTCCTCTTTTCCCTCCAACTCACTCAAATCTCCTTCAGCAAAAAAAAAAAAAAATAGAAATTAAAAAAAAAAAAATTTTCTGACTTCTCCATGAAAATATTTTTCCTGCAAAGTCACTGTACAATTCCTCATTTTGAGTTAAATTATACCCAGAATTGTCCTTATTTCTGAGGCATGAAAAGGAGGGTAGGAAACCTCTTCTTACTTATTTGTGGAAAAGGCCAGGAGGAGGGTAGAAACCTGTTCTTACTTATTTGTGGAAGAGGAAAAAGCCAGGAGGAGGGTAGAAACCTGTTCTTACTTATTTGTGGAAGAGGAAAAAGCCAGGAGGATACAAAAATCCAGAGTGAAAAAGCAGAAACTGCTTTGCATCCTAATGCAGATGTCAGATTTCTTCTCACACTTTCAGCCAGATCCCAGCAGGTGCTGAGCACCCTCCATTCCCCCTGGGCAGCTAGAATCTTACTAAAGTCCTGATGCAACTCCTGCCAATGCCAACAATCTGCTTTTCATTGATGTTGATGAGGGAGAGGTCAGCCACTGTTCACCATGTATCTTGCATGATTTGGGTTTTAATCTGCATCCATGGAACCCTCCCAGTGATAAAAAAGACTAATAAAATCTACACCTCACACTGTATGCCATTTCATATAACATTTCCCCTCTCATTTTTCTTTTTAAACTCTCCTTCCTTTTCACTGACTATTTTGATCCTCACTAAATTTCTTATCTTCTCTTTTGCACCGTATTTTCTCCCCCAAGGCTCAAATGGCATGAATTTCATTCTCATTAGCAGTAGGAAAAGATGAAGCATGTCTCTGTGGGATGGAGCAAACAGCATCTGTTTGGTTTATCTCCTTGCCTCTCCCCCCTTAATCCAATGGGTTGGTAGCCTGAGACTGGAAAAGAGGATTTTGTCAGCCTCAAGTTCTGACTTAATGACCTCTGCCAGTGCTGACATCAGTTTGTTTCAAGTCTAGTATCAAGAAGTACTGGAGGGTGAGGACCACTTGGTCTCATTAAGATGCTGGAAAAAAAAAAAAAAAAAAAAATTACCCAACAGTTCAAAAGCTGGGCATCATTTGGTTTCTGACTCCAGTTCTTCACCGCTCAGCACTGGGTGGAAGTTGTCAACCACCTCAGTAAGAGCCCTACAAAAAGGAGTTAGACTCAAGCCTAACCGCGAGATCTCCTTTATCAGTTCATGAACATTTGAACCAAGAATCTGGGCTGGAGCCACTTGGCACTGACCTGGACTTGTATGGTGTCCCTGACCATTCTTAGAAGATCTGCTCAGGTAGAGGCTTAGCTACAAAATCAAACCTCAGCATTTTGCCCAGGTACCACACATCAGCTGACCTATGACATCTGGTTATGCATCTGTCCTTGCATCACCTCTAAGTAAGGTAAAATAGAATTTCCTAAAATCCCTTCCCTTCTATGAATTATTTGAAATCTCCTCCTTTGCCAATGAACAGGAATTAGCAAAATCATATTTCTTTGGGAGGTAAAATATGATACAGTTGAAGCTTTGCCTATTCTTGGAAAATAATGTGAGTTAAGAAGAACATCCTGGCATTTGATGTGTTCCTTGTTGTCTCACAAAGTGATAGATGTGTTGTAACTGGCATAATCAGTGCAGTTCACCCCCAGGTCAGGGGTCTGGTAGGGACTGCTTACTTCCTAAAACTTCTTCTAGGAGAGTTTAGTTCAGCAACAGAACCATCAGTGGTGACTCAGAAAGCGGCACAGGTTTCTGACTCCTGCCTACTCCATGAGATTTGAGATTAAAATTTCCACTTCTGAGCCTTTGCTATTCTAAAGGTGTCACCACAGGGAAAGTGCCACATAAATTGAGGCTGTGATGCAGTGCAGGACTGTCAATGACAGCCAATCCAGTAGCTCCTTCTTTCTTTGAGCTGTGTTTAGATCCACATGCCACCAAATGCCAGTGAAGGAAGGCAATCAGTATGGACATTAGCAATGCTGAGCTGTTGATTTACATCACATGAGCATCCTCAGCCCTGACTGCAATGTGTTTTCTGTCAGGGCTCATTTTATCCCAGAATAGTTGTGTTGTTGGCTTAATGAAAGCAGCTTCATTAAGTGGTGCAAGCAAGCATGTGTTTACTTCTGAGCAATCAGCCTGTGACCCATCAAGAAACAGGATGAAACTGCTTGGAATATTGTATGGCTCCCTTCATGTGACCAGGGAGCTGGGGCTGTTTAGCCTGGAGAAAAGGAGACTCAGAGGTGACCTTATCACTCTGCAACTTCCTGAAAGGTGATTGCAGCCAGGTGGGGTTGGTCTCTTTCTTCAGGAAACAACTGACAGAACCAGAGGACACAGTCTCAAGCAGCATCAGAAGAAATATAAGTTGGATATTAGGAAGAAGTTTTTCACAGAAAGAGTGATAAAATATTGGAATGGCCTGCCCGGGGAGGTGGTGGAGTCACCATCCCTGGATGTGTTTAAAAAAGACTGGATATGGCACTTGGTGCCATGGTTTAGTTGAGGTGTTAGGGGCCTGGACTTGATGATCTTGAAGGTCCCTTCCAACCTCATTATTCTGTGATTCTGTGACATGGGACCCAGGCTGTCCTGTTTACAGTGGCTGCATCAGTGTTCCCTCTCCAGCCAAGGAGCTGAGCTACCCAGTCACCTTCCCAAGATCTTTTTATATATACACTAGGTCTTAACTTCTCTGGAATTCAGGAAGTGCAGCAATATGGCAGGGTGGGCAGGAATGGAATGAGTCCCACAAGGGAGATGTGTACAGCTAGCAAATTATTTTTCCCTATTTTGGAAATTCTTGAGGATTTGCGCTGAACAGCTTCAATGTTCAAGGGGGGGAAAAAAGTATTTTTAAACATCCTGGTACAGTCAGAAGCACTTGGAGAGGGAAGGGAAAAAGTTCAGTTGCAAATAACATTTGTAATATTGTACCAGGTGCTTGCAAAACTTCAAGGAGCAGATTTTGTAGTGGAGCAAGAGTCTTTATCATTCCTCTTCACTCCAGCAGAAGCCAGGTACAACTTCCCTGGAAGAAATGCTGGGTCAGGGCAGAGGAGGTCAGTGTACTTGTTATTACAAAAGAGCTGGTATAGAAGTATTTCACAGAAGATGTTTTACTGCAAGTACAAAGAACAACTGATATAAGTAAGTTGATTTTAAGTCTAAGTTCTTTCTCTGTCTTAGCTACAGAAACCCTGTACAATCTTAGGGAAATCAAGTCAAATTTCTTTTAACCAGCTTCTCCTTAGGAAAAAAGCTGAGATAATGACCCTTCTGTGCCTGCCCCTCCTCGTGCTGTCACTACAAGGACACGGCCTGATGACAGGCTGCTAAGCATCCCCTAAACCTGAAAATCCCACCTCTGCCATCCAGAAGCCTGGTCCTGGGGGTTTCCCTTCTCAGAGACTGTAGTTGCTTGTGCAGTGCCTGTAACAAGGGGGTCCCAACCTCATTCAAGATCTCAAGGGACCTAAGTAGAGAGACAGCCTTACCATTTCACAGGATGTCCCCTCAGGGGGTTGGTAGCTAGAGGTTTGTTTATTCACCACTGCCAGGAAGAAGATGATGTACAGTTTCATGGCTCTGTGGGTAAAAATAATTACAGTTAGATTTCATATGGGACACAGTGGTCAACACATGCAAAAGCTGGCACCAGGTCATCATCTAACATGGAGAAGGACACAAGCAGTGCAATAAATTAAGCCACCTCTGAGAATTTGAACAGAAGGTCCAAGACATTGAATGGGTTTTCCCCAGTGTGATTTCAGCTGCTGCCTAAATGGTATCCAGGACAATCAACAAAGTCCACATGTTCAAACTGGGCAGGGTGTCTGGCATAATGGAGAAAGAAAACTACTGAAGACTGAGTTATCTTCACACTCCCCATAGACACAGCACCGGTGCTTTCAACTGGGCTTAAGTTTTGGGCACCATGTCCTGAGCAAAGTCAAGAGGTGCCACTCAGTAACAACCAGAAGTGGGAACAGTTTTCATTTCCATCCACAACATTTTCTACTCCTCTTATCCCAGAACATCAAAGAGCTTTTACATGTGTACCCTTGTTGAGTTAATGCAAACAGCTTAAGGAGTGGACTGAGATTTTTCATTTTACACACTCCAGCTATGGACAGGCTTATAAATACATTTGACAGGAGATCACAGAACCATATATTCCACAGAATCACAAAATATGTAAAATTGGAAGGAACCCACAAAAATAATTGGGTCCAATCCCTGGTCCTGTACAGCACCATCCCCAAGAGTCAGATCCTGTGTCCAAGAGTGTTGTCCAAATGCTTCTTGAACTCTCTCAGACTTGGGTTGGAAGGGGCCTTTAAAAGCCATCTTGTGCAATCCCCCTGCCATGGACAAGGACAGATCATCAGCCTTACAAAGAGACAGATTTAAATAGAATGGATTTGTGTGAAACAGAGCATTCATGAGGGTTTAACTGTTTGGAAAGCACTCCATAAAAGAGCACAGAACTGCAAAAGAAGCAAACACCTCTGGGAGGCCTGTCACTGGACAATGGGAAAAAACAACCAAAGTCAAAGGCAAGCATTCCTGCTTCAAACAGCTCCAGATGCAACCCCAATCCCATGCACAAGCCACTGGCATCAATATAGTTGCTCAGTGGCTTCCACCCAGAGCATTGAATAGGTGGAAACGAAAGAGATCGGATCACTCTCAGCTGATGGAGATCCCTCTGCTTAGTCACTTTGATGGGTGCAGCTGGTGGCCCCTTACAGTCAGCACTGACAGTCACTGAACAGCAATGCCAACAAGTTCCTGATGGGAATCTGCCTGTTTCTACCCTCCTGAACCAGAGAACAGAGCTGTGTTCTAGGAATAGAGAAACTGTGTAGGATTAGACCACAGCTACTCAGTGTACAGCTTACGTATTCCTTCCATTTCATAAGAAAATCCCAGTGATGGATGATGACCTGTGACCCCAAGGTGAAAGAATGGGTCTCAGTAATGAGATCAGAAGTGTGTTCCTCTCTGTTAAAACCAAACCAAGGATGTAAATTCTCTACCATTGAATCAATGTTTGCAAAATATGCTGAAATCATCTGATGGAAGGAGGAATTGCCAATATCACCATCTATAATGGTTCTGTTTTCCCCCTCTGATCTTCATTCCCCATGCTTAGAGCAGCTGGGACCCTCTTTAAGGAGGATAAATATATTTTCATAATTTGAGTATTAGTTTTCTGAGGTGGTGACAGAAGATTAACATACCAATGACTACAAGGTTTTTCTCCAAGCCCTCACAGGGAAATCTTTTCTATTCAGACAACATGAATTAAGCTGAGGATATTAGCCACAACAGGGCACCACCCTGAGGAACAGCATGTGGCCCAAGTGCTCTGCAATGTCTTCCCTTGTCACACTGTCAGAGCAACAAAAGGTCTCTTTGCCTTTTAAATAACAAACCTGACACAATCCAGAGTCTTAACATACTTAACCTAATTTTTAGGTTTATAAAGCAACTGGGAAATTGATGCATTTGAACACAAAAAAATATGATATAATGGCTTGCTGAGTAAGACAAATCTGTAATAAGGAAGAATGCTGTCCCTCAAGGTGTTTCTAAGATGGCTGTCACATACTGAAGCTCATCAAGGATGTGATGGCCTCTTCAAGCATAAGACAACACAGACTCTGTCCTCACAGAACCATTTAATTTGGAAAAGCCCTCTAAGACCATCAACTCCAACTGTTCTCCCAGCACTGCCAAGGCCACCACTATCCCATATTCCCAAGTGCCACATCCACACATCTGTTAAATCCCTACCTGGATGGGGTCTCCACCACTGCCCTGGGCAGCCTGTGCCAGTGCTTAACAACCATTGTGGTGAAGAAATTTTTCCTAATATCCAAACTGAACCTCCCCTGGCACAACCTGAAGCTACTTCCTCCTGACCTGTCATGGTACAGCCCAACCTCCTTGCTCAAGGAGATTCCCTTCCTAGGGTAGATTTTAGTTCAGCTGTCCACCTGAGAAGCTTTTCCTGAGTAGCTTTTCTCTGAATATTCTCAGCAACCTCTAGTGTGTGACACATCAGTGCATCCCCCTCTTTTCTACCCTCTGAGCAGGTCTCAGCAATCCCCCACGCTCTCCCAGTGCCAAGCTCAGGGTTACAGGACCACCATTCCCTTGGTATGTGAAAGGACATCTACTGGCACTAAACCCTTCCTGTTGGCATTGATCTCTCCATCCACAGCTTACAAAAACAGTTTGGGGGCAGCAGTAGCAATAACTCAACTGAAAGGAGCTTTTATTGCTTTGAGGTTTTCCCAGAGCTGAAGCAGCTTCATGGTCAGTGCCAGTTTGCTCCCACTGGAAGCTGTGATGGAAACCCCAGCATAGCTCAGAGCAGGATTGAGCTCTGAACCCTACTTAAATCCACAGCTTTCCACCACAGCACTTCAAAATCACACAGTGCCAACCCCAGCTGAAAAATACAGCTGGTTTAAGTCAATATCATCCCCAAGGCATATTAATAAGTCAGTCAAATAATTATAGAAAAAGCATATCCTAACCATATCAGCATACCCAGTTAAAAAGTAGGAAAAGCAGGGAAGTCAGAGAAGACCAGTAATTTGCCCCAATACACATTTCAAACCATGGAATAATAACAATTTATTCCCAGTGTCCACTTCAGACCAATGTTTGCCTCCCTCTCTATCACAATATTAATTCTGAAATTACTTCACAGATGTTGTTTGCAGCTAATAAAAGCAGCACTTTCCAGATCTCTCCCAAACATAATTTTTGTTATTGCTTAGACAATTAACGGGAATGCTGTCCTGTGCCAAGGAAATTTAAATACAAGCGAACACACGGAACAAAAATCACACCCCCCAGGGTCTTATCCTTTCCCACACAAGACTCTTTCCTGTTAAGTTAGAGCCTCCAAGGGTAAAAAAAGTGACTATTTCCCATTTACCTTGTTTCAAGGGTCTCTCACATCCCCAAACACTGCTTATCATCTCTTTAAAAAGCATGTCCAGCTCTTCAAAATCGATTCAGTCCTGGTATCGATGCAATTATTCTTCAGATTCATGTTCACCCATTCAGGACACCTAAAAGTTCACGCATAGCTTCAGAATGAAGGGCATTTTCAGGGAAATAACCTTATTTGGGACAGTGTCTGCTTTAAATTATGTTGCTTGTCTTCCTCTCCACTCCTCCCTGGGCTCTTGCTGGGTCCCAGCCACCGCTGTGCTCTGGACGGAGTCAGCTTCTGTGTGACATCCTGGAGCCCTTTCTTGGGGCAGGCATTGAGAGACAGGGGGATTTTTGCCAGAGGAACTGTCAGGATTTCTCTGGAGAATAAGTAACTTATCAGTGATGCCATTGTTTGGCTGTGTGCGTGGGGCATGACAGTGTGTTTATTTTGGATGTGACTACAAGTTACATTCCTGGAGGGTTGTAGCCTCCTGCACCTAAATGTCTCTCTGTATCTTTAAGGACACAGTGCTTGCGGATTAAACATTTAAAATTCATGGCTGATAATTATAAACCCCAAAATCTGGAAACCTGTTCTGGAAGAAATAACTTTTCTCTTTGCAGTCATCCTACTAATGACAGTGTGACTGCAGTCTGCTGGCAGGAGGGGGGTCCATTGTTGGCTACAACACCTTGGATGGATTTCCATGGCATGAGGCAGGAATTAGGGCTAAAGGCCTCCATGAAAGGCATTTTCAGTTGTGCTGCTGAATTTTTGGCTGTAAAAAATTACACAGTGCTGAATATACTGGATCCAGTAGGAAGAATTCCCACTGCAAAGGGGTGCTTTTGTCATGCAGAAGATGATTTCAAATTGGCAAAGTTCAGCTTTTTATTTATTATTTCGTGCTGCCCTCTAGAGCCAGAGCAGCTGGTTTCCTTTTCCTTTTCATTTCCTTTTGCTAATTAAGTCTTGCTTCAGGAAAACCCTCCTCTACATAGATTTCCCTGCTGTTTTCTCCCAGACATACAAACCTGAACTGCCACAACACAGTTTTCCCATGGCTGAAATACTATGCCAAGGAGCTGGGCTCTAAGTTTGCTTGGTAATGCACCCTGAAATGAGAGGTATAAATCACAGAATTATAGAGTCTCAGAATGGTTTGGATTGGAATGTTCATCTAGTTCCAGCCCCCCTCCCGTGGCAGGGACACTTTTCACTGGACCAGGTTGCATGTCTAGCAATTAAAATACTATGACAAGGTGACAGGGAGGGCATAATTAGGTGCAATGGATAGAAAAATACTCATTAAGCTCTCAGGAGAATTGTCCACCAGTGAGATTATCACAACCTCAGAAAAGTTTCCCTTGACTGGGTTCTCATCACGTTAGTCTTGATCACCTTCCCCCAAGTATGTCATGTCTTAAGCTTCACTTTGCAGTGCTGTTTTTCACTTCATCTCCTTAGCATGATCCCTGGAGCAATCCCCTTGGGGTAAGGAGGAAATTCATGTTGAAACTCGGGACAACTGTGCTATTCAGAGATTTAAATGCCTTTTGGATGCTCTGGGTTTAGAGCTTACCTTGTCAGCAGTGCACAGTAGCATTTGAAAAGCACAGATGCCTTCCAATGCAAAACTCAAATATTTGAGGTCTCCAAGGAAAATAAAAACTTTTTTTTTAAGTAGGATATTTCGATCTGATTTGAACTACAAATATCATGCCTATAATCAAGATCAGCAAGCGGCCAGGATGATGGAAGCTTCCAATTTTTCTGCACCTGGATATTCAGAGCACTTTAGGAAGCTTTGAGTTACAGGGATAAAAATAGCAGAGATATTGTGCTTTTCAAAAAGCCAGCTCTGTTCTTCAAGTTGTTTTATTGAGTAACCAGGTAGCTGTGCCAGCCAAACTGTAAAGAAGAGCCTAGACAGAAACAAATGCCAAAGCAGGAGGAAAGGGAATGCACTGATTCTACTGCTCAGGCTTTTCTTCAATAAAACCACACTCTCAGAGGACACTAGCTGCAGTGGGAAAGATCGGTGCTGTCCTTGCCATCTTTGTCCCTTCCCAAAGGGGATCTGGCAGCAAACAGTTTCAAAGACTCCAAAGCATTTGGCTGATTTCCCAAATTTTCTGTATTTTTGGCTTTGAGCTGCCCAGCAGTTTACACTTTAAAGTGGTGTTGAAAAATTGGCATGGTATGGGCTTGATAAGACACATCTGCAGGGTAAAAGTCACATGCATCAATCAGAGAATGGCCCAATTTGAAAGGACCCTTGTCGATAATACAAACCCCCTGCCATGAGCAGGGACACATTCCATTACACCACTCATTGCTCAAAGCACCAGTAATTCTCATCTCCATCACACAAATTGGAGAAACAAGCTTTTTTTTTGCCCATAAAATAGCAAGGGCTGTCCCATCCCAACAATACCCAAGGGTGTGCTGGTTTTGCATCATGGAAGTGATGTTCTAAGAGTAGCTGCTAGCAGTTTTCTCCATGCCTGACAAAAAAACAATCTGTAATCAGCTTTAGGAATTGACAATCTGTTAAACCACTGAGAAAACTGATAGCCTCAGTGAAGTCCCATGCTAAAACCAAAAAATCACGGGAATTCTGGTTTTTTTTCTGGCCTGAGAGCAAGTAGCTCAGTTGGCTCATCCCCCTTTGTCTCAGCTGTGGGGCTAGACCCTGATATGTATATTGATTATAATTAGCACCAGTGTAATACTGTTGTATTTGATTTAGGGAAACATGATTTGATAGGCGTTATTTTGTTATTGCAAAGCAATAATTTTAAAAGAATTTAAAAAATAATATTTTGTTATTGCAAAGCACATACGCCAGCACTGAGAGCTGCCCCCACATATCTGTTACACCCAAAACCAGTTTTCTTGGACAAAGCCTCATTTAAAATTTAATACATGTGGGTTCTTAGGTGAGGTGATAGTGGAGTTGATCATCCTGGTAATGACCCAAGATTGGGATTGCTGGAGTCATCCGGGCTGATACATCTGAAATCCATGGTTCTGTAATTCCATCAGGGAGAATTGTCCACACCTGGATCAGATTGTTCAACCTCGACCCAGAAGAAAAGAAACTTTATGAATATGTGGGACTTTGAATGGAAAGAAAAAGTGGACTGCCAAAATCCTAGACCAGTGAAGAAGAAGTCAAGATGGGAGGGATGAGGAGATGGCATAATCTCAGGACTGAAATCTTCTTTTAAAGCTATAGAGAAAAGTTTAATTGATCCATCAACCTTTTTTTCCCTATAACACATTGAAGAATTATGGGGGGATGGACTGTTCAAACCTGTGTTAAAGCAGACAAATGTTGAAATAGCTGTGAATTTAATAAGAAGCTTGAAAAGAGAGAGAGAAGAGTGATGAAGACCCTATGCCCTCAGGAGAGCAGAAAAAGATCCCTATTCTCATAGATGAAGATGATCTCAGATATAAATAAAGAGAAACTTTGCCTTTGAACAGCTCATCCTTAGAATAGTATCCCATAATTTGACATGGCCCATAAACATAGCTGTTCAAAAAGCTGTGAAAAATGGGAGGGACTTCACAGTTGCAGATTTAATTTTTCCAGGTGGCTGCTACTCGTGAAAATTAGAACTGTTTTCTTGTAGAAAAATCTCCATAAATTTACTAAAGGACTCCTCTTCCTAAGTAAACTGAAGAAAAACTGATCTAGAAGTGATAAGCTGACTTAATTATTTCTGTCTGTTGTGAGTGAGAAAGAAAATGTTGTAGTGGGAGGAGAAGTGTTCTAAAAGTTTCATTCTGAATCTTATTATTCTCTCTTATTTTTAGTTACTGTTAATAACGTTTTCTTTATATCCTTTTAACTTTTGAGCCTACTTTGCCTTCCTCCTAATCCAATCTCACAGCAGGAAATGAGTAAGCATATTCTAGTGAGTGCACTGGTGTTTGGCCAGCACTGAAACCCACCACAAAGGCTTTGCACCTGCAAACCCTGTGAAATCCTTATTTTCCAATGGTGTCTCAGCAGTCACTTCCTACTCAGTTTCTGTCAGTGTCAGCTGAATTTCATTCTCTGTCACCCAAAGTGAGGAACACCTTATCAGACCTCTCCTTTCCTCCAAACCTTTTGCCCACCATGGCCAAGAGCAAGAAGGAAAAGTAAATCCTAGCTGCTGGCTCTTACCAGTCTGTGAACTGCTGCAGGTTCCCAAGGGTTTCAGAGGAACAAGAAAATGTCTTGATCATTTTGTATCTTGAGTCTCCAGACCTTTTGGAGTCTGTCCATTCATAATGCTGCTGCTTTCTAAGGCACTGCTTTTGTCTGGGTCCTGTGTCGAGCTCTATGAATCAAACTCTCTAGAGAAGTAAATAAAACAAGTCCCTGCCTTAGAAAGTGGGTCTGAACTGTAAATGCTCCTTTTTGGCTGGAATAGCTCCTTGATGATTCACCCACAGGGAAGATGGAGACAACATTAATATTAACCCTATTAAAAAGAATACCCAATGCCATCCTGAGCCACAGACTTTGAGAAGGAGGCACAGCTCCAACTCCTGACACTCTACAACATTCCCAGAAGCTGATTCTCCTGGTTTATTTTGTTCCTGCAATCTGCACTGTGCTTTGCATCTCACAGGCAGATGCAGCCCCTACTCTTCCTGGTGTCAAGTCCACAGATCAAAAGAGACTCCTCCATCTCTTGTAAACCCAACAAAGCTTTTCTCCTGTCTTTTGAAGCCACTGCCTTCCTTCCTCCCTTCTTTCCTTCCTTCCTTCCTTCCTTCCTTCCTTCCTTCCTTCCTTCCTTCCTTCCTTCCTTCCTTCCTTCCTTCCTTCCTTCCTTCTCTTTCTTCCCTCTCTCCATGTGCATCTTTATCAGATGCTCAGCCAACAGCATTTCCCTACCAAAAATGAACATTTCCAATTATTGAGGTTTTAGCCAGGTTCCCTGTTTTATTCACCCTTTTTCCTCCTTCTCTCTTCAGGAAAGAAAATGTAAATGAACAAGAACTGAAAGAAACCCACAAGCCCAGAGAATGTGTGAGTGATGGGCAAAGGGACAGAGGGAGATGGGAAAATGAAAACTCTTTCATCAGCAAGAAGTGACATGTACTGGCATTTGCAGATTAAACTATCTAAGCACGAAATGCTCTCCCTGGAAAAGAAAATGCAGATTCAAGAACCAAACCAGAATATTTTCTTACCAGTTTATAAAATATACTTTTAATTCAGCAATATTGTTTTTTATAGACAGTGATGTCAGTATTTAGGAAAAGGTGTACTGATTTTATAAAATCCAGTAGGAAGCAAAATGAGGTGAAGAGAATTATTTGTGACAGATTTGATTTGCATAATACTGATATCCATGCTTGAATCCACCTATCATTGTATTAGTAAAAG